CGTTAATCGCTCTAATTCACATAGATTTGAGCTCACTAAAGAATTTTTTTATTATAATGCTTTAAACTTAATAAAAATGACGTCTTATAGAGGTATTTTGAAAGTGACGTATGAGTATTCAATTAGACTTAAATTTTGTAACATGTGTTTTTTATACTGTGAGATTTTCCAGATCTGTTTACTTTTACGACAAGCTTGAACAAAAGAGTGATAAAACTTTGTCAGCCTTGTTATGTGTTCGATATTTTTTTAAATATGATTTATAAATCAATAAAAATCTTAATCAAGTATCTTTTATTTCAAATATTTTTTACCACGAGTTAAAACATTTTTTTCACGGGGAACCCGTTCCCCGGGGTAAAAAATTATTGCCTTGGGGTGGACACTAGTTATTACATCATCTAAGTAATTAGTTGTCTGCTATTAGCCTAACTACTCAAGTCATTTGGGCATCTTTGAAATCATTTTTTGACTTTTTTTTTTTACTTTAGACATTTTAACGTACTACCTTTTCCTAAACATGAGCAAAAGACTTAGTGAAGATGAAAGTGAAGTTGTAAGGAAAACTCGAAAAGTTATTTCTTCAAGAAAAAATAGAAATCATAAGAAAAGGTGAAGATGGTGTCTCGAAATCAAAAATAGGCCTAGAGCACAAACTAGGTGAGTCAACAGTAAGAGAAATTTTAGGTAAAGCTGATGAATACAAAACGAAAGGTAAAGCTGCTTCAAACTTATCATGTGTGCATACCACTCGAAATCAAAATGTTATCATGATTGAATTAGAAAGATTGCTAACTATCTGGAGAGAGGACTGTAACCAGAAAAGAATTCCTTTAAGCACTGATCTCATAAAAGAAAAAGCATTACGTCTCTTTTCAATTTTAAAAGAAGAAAAGTTCAAAGACGAGACAAAGGAGTTCCATGCTAGTGCTGGATGGTTTGAGAAGTTCAAGAAAAGAACTAGCCTGCACAATGTAAGAATTACAGGGGAAGCAGCTGGTGCAGATAAGGAAGCTGCTGATGCATATCCTGAAATTCTGAAGAAAATTGTGGAAGAAGGAGGGTATTCGGATGAACAAATTTTTAACATCGACGAGACGGGGTTATTTTGGAAAAGGATGCCTTCCAAAACTTTTCCGGCCAAATCTGAGAATTCCCAGTCATGATATAAAGCTGCAAAGGATAGGCTAACCCTTTTATTGGGAGGCAATGCTAAAGGAAATTTGAAATTAAAGCCTATGTTGGTTTATCGAACTCTTAAAGGTATAAATCAAGGACAATTACCAATAATATGGAAATATAATAAAAAAGCATTGGTAACTAAAGCTTTGTTAGAAGAATGGTTCGTCAAGTATTTTTGTCCAACGGTTGAAGACTTTTGCCGAAGAAGAAATTTAGATTTTAAAGCTTTGCTTATTTTAGATAATGCCCATGGTCATCCCTTTGGTCTCGATTCAATGTGCAAAAATATCCAAGTGACATTTTTGCCCGCAAAAAATTGAGGTACGAATTACATGATTTCCTATAAGTTATTATATTCGATTAGTGCGGCTCTTTTAAAGAACACATTAACCGCACTAATCGAGGGATTCCTGTATATTATTACAGCTTTGGAATGATGATATATGCTGGTTGCTGAATTCTTGTATTTTTCAAATATTTTGTAAGTATGATGAATGTTAACTGCTCAAATGGTAGCAGGAAATAAAAACAAGTCAGAAATTTGAGAGATAAGACTAATACCATTGGTATCTATTGCTAAATGAGAACTGTGAAAAAGTAAAATATTCTAATAATAATATAGTCGCAAATAAATATTAACTTCTCTATATTCTTCAGCACAAAAATTTAAGTTTCATAACAAAAAACTTCCTATGATCATAGTGAAAAAAACAACAACAAAAAACATCAACACTGCTCATTATGTCTTAGTATGACCTACCCTAATTAGTTTTGAATCAGAGCCAAAACTAATAATCTTAAACAGTATAGCTATGTATCAAATGCAGAATTCTTTCAATTTAATAAGATTTTCGGTTTATAAAATTTAGTTGTTACTAATCTCATAATATTTACAACTAAATTCCACATTCAGCTTTTGTATATTAAATCCTTGTCACTATTTGTGTCTCATGGTTTTGAAATAAGATTATTTTCTCTTGTATGAATTATCACACTTTGTAAATACACAATACTTATATCTCTTACAAATGTGTCAAGATAACCAATAAAAACTTAATATTCTACTTCATGTTTAAGCATATAGAACAATATTTTCTTGCACCTACTATAAAAAAAACAATATTTGAATAATAACTAGTTCTTTCAGGTACTCTTCAAAATTTTAGATTACATGTAAAATAGCTAAATACAGTTCTGCCTAACACTAATAAAAAGGCTTTACATGAAAATTACTTTTTTTTTACCAATTCAAAGATGATAAAAATTATTCCGTTTCTTTTTGTTATTCAATATCTATTTCTTATAATCTTATATTAAGAAATTATTTAAATGTCCAAAGGAGATCATATTTTTTAAAGACACATCACTTCTACAAACTATATCAGCACTTTTTATTTCTTCAGATATTTAATAAAGACTAATACAGATCAACAAATAGAGGATATACCAACAGGGGCATGTGATCAAGAAACTCAATGTTATTATGCAACTTAAAAATATTTCAAAACCAAAATAAGTACTGGAAAGAACTTAAAGCCATTATTTTTCTAAACGGTGACTATTTTACCTCAATTCCACATCACTGCAGCACTTTGGTGAAACCATTCAATGTTGATCTTAGTGATGCAAGATATTTTTTCATTAAAAAAAACAATAACTGAGAATGGTACACATCAGTGCATCAATTTAATAACCTGACACTTCAAAAACCAACATGGATAAAACTTCTTTCAATTACTTATATTTTTACATCTACAAAACAAAACACCTTCACTGGTTTTCTTGATAGCAAAATAACTAGTTTTCAGAGAAAGAACTGCTTCTCAATTTCCTAGGTATTACAGTAAGCTCAGATAACTGAAAAATGTTTAAGGTTAAACATTTAAATTTTATTACTTCTATCAATACTACCTATTGCTGTAAAAAATAATCCAAAAATATATATTTTCTTGTATAGACTTTTATAAAATCAAAGTATTAGTTGGTGATGAATATTGAAGTTTCTATATACTAAATACATGTACAGTAACCTTCTCACTTAACCTCCTCAGTTATGAAGAATTCAAAATCATGGCCTGGCTGTCTAGCAAGTTTAAATATTAAAATAACTATTAAAAAACAACAATCAACCTAGACTTTAGGTATAATGTTATACAGAAGTAACTCAGCATCAGAAGTCATATTAAAACTAGCATTTTAAAATGTTAGAGGTACAGGTAAAAGACTGAATACTCATGAGTGATACATTTTACATAAATAGCTTAAAGTATTTTGACTCAAAAAGCTGACCCTAGTCAGTAAATACTTCAAAATAAAAAAACGTTGCATGAAAACTGAGCCAAACATTTATTTTTGCATTATACTTATAATGTTACTAGTGACATTAAAGACCATGTAAACATTAATCTGTGAAATCAATACACATCAATATTCCTGGACCATCAAAAATTCTTATTAATTTTCAGTAATGGTTTAAATATATAATCACCTGGACAAGATTATTTTGAGAATTACTGGAGAAATTAACATGAACATTAGTTACTAAGAGATTTCATTTAATTGTTACTACTAGTACCATAACATTTATTATGGCAGAATTATAATTTTTATTGATTTAAATATCAACTTCACTCTCACTGGTATATCTAATTTTGTCAAGCATTAATGTGTGAAAAAAAATCATTAAACATCTAAAAACAAAATAACATGACAGGATAACCTGTTAAACCATAAGTTCACTTGTTTAGTGATTAACATCAAGCATACTTGTTAACAATACAATTATAAATAATAACTGCTTTTTATTCTTTCCCAGTTTTTATAATTTTATATGACATTGAGACTTCTTTCCTTGCTATTCTGTCTACTAATCATTTTCATAACTTTTTTTTTATTATTACATTCTTTTAGAATCAGAATTACTAAACAAATTATGAAATCTCCCTCCCATATCACTCATTAATTTAGAGGCATATAAAATAGCCATCTACTTAACAGTAAAACAACCTGCTAGATCCTGATACTGTAGAGAATAACCTACTCAGTTTTAGTCACATAACTCCACTCAAAGAAGTTCCTTTGCAATTCATGTGTCATTCTGTATTACATATTAGTGCAAATCAAATATACTTCAACATACAAATAATGTTTCATAGAAAAGATGCAAGACTGTCTGATTTCAAATCTATACAACTTTCTCATTACATATATCAATAAGTAGCACACTTGTTCAAAGTAGATTATTTTAAAACCAGATTGTAGGTGTGTCACAGGACTACAATACAGCCATGTGGAAATCAAACAGATTGTTCTTGTTGTGAATTGTTCAGGTACACTCAAATTATATTCTTTTGATCTCACCTAACTGTTAATGAATTAAACAACGTTATCCATCCAAAATTATATTTTAAGTGTTGTCATAGTATACACTATTTATTTAATAAGAACTTTCCCAGTTAATCTGTCAAACATTATTTATTTATTAAGAACTTTCCCAGTTAATCTGTTAAACATTTTCTGCAATTAATTTTTCATACAATTTAAACATGCTGAAACAATCAAAATTACTACTTATTAAATAAGGTCTAAAACAGCTGAACAGCACTTCTGCAATAATTTGAAGCCAATACTTATAATAACTAGTAAATACTAATTGAATTTCAGGTTAAAGTTGCTTTGATCAAATTTTCCTCTATTACAGCAATGTTTACCATGATGCACATATTTTGATATTTCTCAATAACATAAGATTTTGTACCTCTCAGATTTTATTTAACAAAATAAATAAAAACCTGGATATTAAAATAAAAGATAATACTCTAGCAATATATAAGAACACATACAACAGTTAGAGAATATATTGATTTATATTTAGTTTTGCTTTATTTAGCTTTTATTTGCTTTTTAAAAATGTATGCTTGATCAAAGGTCAGGAACTTCTTATCACAGAATATTTAATAAGTTTTTAAATTTTTATTTTGAACAAAACAGAATTTCGAAATGCTATCACAAAATAGTTACGACATGCTAGTTGACCAGTAAATGCATCTTTCACAAGTTATTCTCTGCCTAAATTGTTGACAAGTATACAACATATATTCAATTTTGGAGCACAGATTGTATTTATTCCTTTTCAAATAATACAAAAATTATCAATTTGTGGGGGTTTTAAAATGTTAAGTAAACTTTTCATTTAGCTTAACTGATAAAAAATACTAAATTCTTTCCTACAATCTTGTAACTTAATATTCTAGAAGTACTACATATAATCTTCATTAATAAAAAATAAATCACTAAAGTATATTATGATATTAACATAAACTACTTTATCTATTAACATGGCTAACTGGATGATCATGTTTTATTACTGTTTAATCCTAACTGGATTTCAGTATACGTTCTAAGACTTTTAAGGAGTCTAGAAATCTACACAGTTTGCTTCCTCAGGTCAACATATCCCAGAATTGTTACACACAAATACTGGAATGATGCAGTGAAAATAGTAAGCATTTTACTTTACACAAATATAATTCTTCATATAAAAATTATCTTTAAATCCACAAAATATTAACAATTCTAATTGTGATTTTAATTAAACTTTCTTTTAATGCTTATTGGTTACTATTTAAGTGCAAAAAGACTTTGAAAACATTGTGACAGTCATTTGGTCAATGTAAAGGTAATTTTAAGACTACAACTTGGTGCAAATTTTATTTATATATAGATGTAAATCTTACAACTGTTTCTTTTGCCAGTTACTGTGAGATTTAAGCACTAGAAATAATCTAATAATCAAAAATAATATTTTACAAGCACACATTTTTTCAATTCAGCAAAATAAAAAAACATTAGTCACCTTTAAACAGCCTCTGACTATATTTTACAGTTGCATCTACCAGGGTCTGACCTAGTCTTAATTAAAAGCATATTGTCACTGGGAAAAAGACAGACACATACTAGAAAATGCCATATTTATAACTAATTAAAACCAAGGCCTGACCTAGATTATATCCAAAATAAACTGGTATTCTGAATGAGATACCAATTCATTATAGCAAAACACTATAAACAAAGGACACTAGAATACTGAATAAATATCACAAACAAGAGACCTATATAAAATTCTCTTTTGTTTTTAGAAGTTACAGCCAATGATTAGTTGACCTTTAGCTTTTACACTGCATTTCATATAAAAACCTTCACTGAAATGTGTTTTACTTTGAAAGTTTAAAATTAAATTTATTATGCCCATGTTTTTTGCAAAAGCCTCTTAGTGCTGATAAAAATTGCTTAAGACTGAAAACTGGCCCTGAATTTTTTAATAAGCAATTTTAACTTTATTCCAGTTTAATTCTTTCAAGAGAGAGGGGACAGAAAACAAAACGGGCTTTCCATCAGCTTTCAAATATTCCAAATCTGGTTGTTCATGAAGAACATGATCCATTCTTTACTGGTTATTCTGAGAACAACACACACACAAAGGGTTATTTTTTGCTATTAAAAATGTACTAAACCATGTAAGCTTTCTATTATGTTATTTCAAGGAGCGTGATATCAGAACACATAATTAATTATTGTGTAGTTTAGCTGTGTTAGAAAAACTAATAAGATGATTTTCTTACATCAATGTCTAATTAAAATCCAAAACATACAAAAATATAGTAATATTTTTTAATACTTTAAATTGCATGAGCAATTTAAAGCTCATGAAGTCTTATAAAATTAAAACTCTGAATTTTACAAAAAACTGGAGAGCAGACTAAAACAATCAAGTCAAACCTTAAATTCTACCCTTAAACTTATCTATTATTTTTGAATTATTCAAATGGCTTTAATTTTTTTTAAGCAGATAATAAAAGACTTCCCATGCACCTAAATAACCTACTTTTATTTACATTATCTATCCTTAATTTCAGTGCATAATTTATGTTTCAGTGTAGTTCAAAAGCGAATTTCGTAATAAGACCAAAATATTCAAATTATGTCCGAAATTTAGGAATATTTCTTTTTTTTTTACAAAACCATCACATTTTCCTTGTTTATTTTATCAAACCAATTTCGAAATAATGGTAATAATTTTGCAATTACTAACTTTTCTCACAGGACAACAGTAACATGATCCGTGATGTAATAGTGAGAGCTATGTTTGAAGCGGTAAATTGTTTATGCCCGACATAAACATACAGTCACTCAACTATCTGCTTTTCTCAACAGGATCTGTGTACTCCAAATGTTATACTTTAACACAAAAAATGAAAAAGTTTTTTTTTTATTGTGCATTATACAAGCAGACTACTTTCTTTTTTGAAGTCAGTATTTTGTGCCTGCCTAATTCACATATGGCCAAGTTGCTGATAGAAAGCCTGAAGCTAAATTCTGAGTATTTTTAGTGGTTTTCATTATTAATCTAATAACAAATGTAAACAAAAGAAAAAGCTCCTCTACTTTTCATTGAAAAAGCAGCCACACCCCAGGAACCATTCACCAGTGCACAATTTATTATCTAATATGAAATTTAAAATAGAAGCCAAAACTTTTTATAAACCCATATTACTCATCCACTTTAATTCTTAAGTTTCATTTTACACATCTTGGAATCCTGAGTCTCAAAAACCTGTTTATATACACTGGCATACAATGTTACTTTCACCTCAGCAACTAGAAAGAATGATATCCATAATGCCAAATACATACTAACTATTTGAAAAATATTTCACCTAATACTCAGTTTTACACATTACACCTCGGCCAGGTGTCAAACAGGAAAAGAATCAACAGAGAAATGTCAGCTAATTTGTTTTGTGGCAAATATATATGATTTTATAATTTAAAACCCTAGAAATTGCATACTAAACTACAGTTTTTTGTTGTTTTCTTTTGTACTTCATTTGGCAAAACAAGGGACAATCCCAGTAACATCCTTGATGTTTACTCTAAAATTTAAAAACCATAATATTTCTACAAGAGTCCAAATGATAAGATAAACAATTTGTATTAAACATTTTTCACACATTTCAGTTCAAATAAATGCAGAAGCTAGGTAACCTATAACTTTACATTGGCAAGTTCATACTTGATCTCTGGGCAATGTCAGCTTGGCAGTAAGGACATTTTGACTGGTGAAGGGCACACTGGTTACATAAGACATAGTGGTTACAAGGTAACAGTGTTACACTACGGTTCTGGTTTTCACATACCATACACTTTGTTGCAGTTTTATGATAAATCACCTGTAAAGACAAAACAAATAAATAAGTACTAAATTTCAGCATAAATGAATATCAATCAAACACTTAGTTCTAATTGTGACTATGTTTCTCATCTTGTTTCTCTCTGTGCGTGTGTGATATTACGTATAAAATGAAAGAAAAAACAATGCAGCTGCAAAACAGACATGTACAACCTGGGCAAACACCATGAGGTGGGTAGTTATGCAATGAATAGAACTATAATATATTAAGTAAAACTAAATAGAACTATACACCCTACCTTAAAAGTTCTTATATAAGGGAGGAGGTTGAGAGTTAGAACTATATAAGAACTTTTAAGGTAGGGTGTATAGTTCTATTTAAAATCTTTTTGTAAGGGTGGAAGTTGGGAGTTTAATTAGTAGAAAAATTAGGATGGCTTTATTTCAATTCATTTCTACTTTAAGAAATTTAAGGGTAACTGCTTTCCCACAACTGGCTATAAACAGTGAAAGGCAGTAGAAGCTGAGACATTGTGGTTGTGAGCATTCAACTTCGTGCCCTTATTTGATTGATTTTTTTATATGATTTTCCATGATGGCTGACTAGATTGACATCAGCTTTTGGATTTTGTCTGATAGATGGGATATCTCCAATGCATTTGGATGCTATTACCACAAAGATTATCCATTATGACAATACGTTGATAACCAGGACTGACAAGGGTATTGCAATATTTAATTCATTACTGTTTTATAGTGCTGATTTAATCACCTGTTAACAATTAGTGTAATCAATAGTTTGTAAGCTATTTGTAACTTTTGAGAAGTGCCACTAACTTTCGAACTCGTAATGCACTGATCACTAATAAACAGAAGAATCAAATGACAAAACAAGATTTTTTTGTGTAAGGTGGAAGTGAATTTAAATTTATTAGTTAAAGCTACTGAAAAAATATAACAGGTAGAGCTTTCTAATAAGCCAGATGAATACAAGTAATAACTACTGAAGATTTTTCACAATGTGACACACAACTTTGAAGCAGATTCAGACATGTCTCACATTTTTCAATTCATCATAAGTAAGTTCAAATGTTTTATCACGCCTGAACTGAAAGTTTCCACATTCACAGTTTCTCCACTCTAACAATACTTATCATTACAAAGTTTTAAGGTTTCCCCATCAACTTTCTACTCTTTTTGCCCTTTCCCAAATTAGAGGAAAGTCTTTGAAACAATTTCTTACTGTCATCAACTAGGATTGTCCATTGTTGGTGTATATAAATTTGATTTTATTAACTTTTCCCCACACGGGCTCAGTCGAATTGACCGACCTCATAACCACTTTGTACTTGTTATAATTTCCACACTAAAACTCATAATACAGTATGTTTATGTTCACATAATTTGGCAGACTTTCAGTAAACATCAAATTTCTTAATGAAGAATTTTTACTGAAGATTTGTCCGTGTATATATTGAATTATTTTTTTTTTTTTTACTAGTCGGAGTGCAAATGTATTTTCATGCAAAATTTTCTTTGTCTCAAAAATCTCAAATTTTATTTGTATAATCACTAAAACCTCCTAAATACATACAACTTTATATTTTATCGGTTATTACTTTTACCTCAATGATATACTTGATTCTTCAGTTTGTAGACAAATCAAAGTATAATGAAAAGTTGTAAAATCAGAAATAAAATGAGCAGCTGTTCTCTTTTTTCTTCATTATTAGTCACACAGTTTCAAAGTACTTCTTTTGAAAGTTTGAATTGCTAAACATTACATATTTATTTCCTGTACGCATTTTACTGTCAACAACTAAAGTAGAAACCCACTGAAAATAAAGCAGTAAATCATCGCTTGTGTCAGTAGACTGACACCATAATGATACCCTTGAAAAGGAACAAAGCACACGTGAAGAGATAGCCGACTTGATCCCTGCTCAGAGAACAAGACGTCTAATGTATCAGATTATATGTTCTACAATGTTTTCTGGAAAATACATAGTAATCACATTGCACTTAGAATCAGTGAAAACATTTATGCTGACAATAGAATGTGGAATTTATTGGCTTATGTATGTATGTATCCTACAGTGCTTACATCAACAATTCTCCAGAGTAATAAGAGTGTGCTTTGAATCTATCAAAACTTTTATTATATGGTTCAGTACTGATTCAATAAACATTGCAATTCTTTGAATATTGGTAATCCTTTTGGAATGTTTGGAATTTAGCAGCATAAGTGTACAAAGATGATATCTGAGCACATACCTATAAAATCCTATTCCCTTTTCAGCACACTTATTCATCAACCAATAAAAACTCAGGTTCCAGTACTAGTTTTTGCACTTGCTTAGTTTTGGTTTTAGTTTTGCAAGCCTTCTAGATCTAGTCTTTTTTTATAAGGCATATTATTATTATTTCCCCAATATTTGTAAAATATTTTACCTTTCTAAATACTATAAATAAATCTGTTTTTAAGTTAGCAAGTTTCTAATATTGTATAAATTGCTTTTATACAACTTCAGTTAAGACAATTACAATAATGCACATTCAATAAGCATAACTGTATTGGCCTACAAAATACAAATCTCTAACTATAATACAAGTATTTTGCAAAATGCAGTGATATTTCAGCTACCATACATTACATATGTATGCAAATGTTACTATTTATTCATAAATATTTAAATTTTAGTTATTTTTCTGAAAACATAAAACAAAAAATACACTGAAGAACAAAGGTTTTGTGTACAGTACAACCTCTACATTAAGGGCACCCTTCTGACTACATCCAAATGCTCCCTATAGCAAGATGCCCTTAATATCAAAAATCAGCCATGTAAAGCTGGAATCCATATTGACCGTACTAAATTTCTCAATTCTAAGGACCCCCCTTTTGTTTAGTGTATGCAGGACATGAGTTGCACATTGCCATGACATGGAGCACTGTCAACAGGAAGTCTCAAGGGGTGGATTAGCTGTGCCATTTTTTCTTTATTATTGGTCACAAAGTTTCAAGTAATTCTCTTCAGAGTTTGAATTGCTAAACATTTCACATTTATTTTCTGTGTTTATTTTACTGTCAATGACTGAAGGAGAAAACTGCTGAAAATAAAATGACAAATCCCTTGTGTCATTAGACTGTTTATGTGACAGTAAAACGATACTCTCAAGAGCAACAAAGCGCATGGATAGAAATAAGCTGATTTGACCCCTGCTTTGAGAACATGATGTGGAATTTATCAGCTTATGTATCCTACAGTGTTTACAATGAGAATTCCCCAGAGTAATAAAATTGCACTTTGAATCTGTGAAAATATTTATTACAGTATATGGTTTGGAGCCAATTCAATAAACATTGCAAGTGTTTGAACATTGGTTATCCTTCTGGGATGGTTGGAATTTAGCAGTTCACCATCCAGGCATACGAAGATAACTGCCCGCTTTGTCAATTACCCATATAGGGAAGGACACTAAAGATACTACTGTTAATCTGGAATACCGAGGTGCCATTATTGCAAAATTTATTTTGGTTACAAATAGTAAAAAAAAAAGAAGAAAGACTGTAAAGGTCTTCCCTTAATAGTGCAGCGTCCGTTGTTTTGAGGTGCACGTTAATCGAGGTTCTGCTGTACTTATGGTGTTACAACATGTTGTACTTGTGAATCTCATGTGCTAAGCCTCGTTTATTTTTCTGAATGGAGGGTGAAGACAAGTTAATTTTTGTAGGCTTCAAATATAAATTTTAGAAAATCAAAAAATTATCAAGTTACTGTATTAGTACTGTTATGTATCTGCTCGTTTGATAATTTCCTTAATTTCCGGTATAAATTCTTTTCGAAGAACTTCAGCGATACAAGTATTTTCTTAATTAAAACTAGTTTATTCTTTCTCGATACAACTTTGTACTACACAGATTTTCCACAGTCACTTTAACTTAACTACTTTTATAAACGTGCTATAATTCACACACTTTACTTACGGCGCCTACTATTCGCTTGACTCACTTTATTTCTCTTCAATCTATCTGCATATCTATCTATCGCTGGCTTTATTTGCTGGGCTTATATACTAAAAAAAAGGGTGCCTGGCAAATACTTGGACATTTGCGACGTTCCTCGATAAGTCACGACTCTTTTAGAAACTCCAGCACACATGCTCCCAGTGTAGCGTGACTTGTGCTGTCGTAACAGTACACACAAAATCCATGTAATCTATCTGGGTCTCTACATAGGATATATGCGGGTTACAAAAAATCCCATTCCTTAATTTTTATTTATCTTGTCCATATCTCAATTTCAAGTTAGCCACTGCATATGTTGTATGTTAGGTATAATAAAATGTAAACTTAGCATTAAGACAAGAGCACATGTTATGTGAAACACAAATATTGATATTTAGCTTTTTTCTTTATATTTCCTTTAAAATTAAGAAATATTACTGAGAAATTAATAATTAAAAATTTTATTAAATAACTTTACTACTATAACTTTATAAAGTTAT